TTGTATCTCTGTGTGTGTTGTTGGTGGGGGGGGGGGTCCGTACGGGAACATTTTGTGTGGGTGTGCGTTGAGAGAGCAGTGAACATATCGGCAGCGGCAGTTGAAAAATCAATTCTCGTCCTGACTACAGGCCCCTGAGCACCACCAAGTAGTAGGTATGAACACATGCATTCTGGATACACACCTCACCTAATCACCTTACTATGATTACGCACTCTATAGCAGCCAGTAGTAGCACAGCCGAGAGTGGTTGCACCCAAAGCCCAACCACACGATGTGGTAGGTATCTGCAGTCAGCTGTTGACTAATGAAATGGAGGTGCTCAAGCGGGATTTGACAAACATATGCCTGGAGACGGGGGTAAGGTTCATTAGGTGTCATGGGATTGTTGTAGTGTGTAAACTTCTGCATTTAGTAGACAAACATTTGGGTAATGAATGCACCCACATTCAATCAATTGAGCCAAATCGTATTCAAACGTTTATTGTCAAACAGGTGGTACACTGTCTAGCAACCTATAACCGTTATATCTTGGGTCAACCCAGTCAAAGCTATACGCACGTTCTATTGTCTTCGTATCTAATCAAATTTTCTTTTTGTCTTATCATATTCTCGTATTATCTTATCATATTATCTTATATCTCATTATATTGTCGTTTTATCTTATCATATTGTCTTATTGTCATATCAAATTGTCTAATTGTCTTATCGTATTGTCTTATTGTCGTATTGTATTGTCTTATTGTCGTATTGTATTGTCTTATTGTCTTATCATATTGTCTTACTATCTTATCATATTATCTTATTGTCTTATCGTATTGTCTTATTATCTTATCATATGGTCGTAATATCTGATCATATTGTCCTATTATCTAATCATATTGTCTTATTGTCTTATCTTATCATACTGTCTTATTGTCTTATCAAATTGTCTTATTGTCTTATCATATTGTCATATTATCATATCATATTATCTTATTGTCTTATCGTATTGACTTATTATCTTATCATATTGTCTTATTATCTGATCATATTGTCCTATTATCTAATCATATTGTATTGTTATCTTCTCATATTGTCTTATTGTCTTCTCATATAGTCCTATTATCTTTTCATATTGTCTTATTATCTTATCATGTTATCTTATTGTCTTATAATCTTATCATATTGTCTTGTTGTCTTGTCGTATTGTCTAATTGTCTTATCGTATTGTCTTATTGCCGTATTATATTGTCTTATTGTCGCATCATATTGTCTTATTATCTTATCATATTGTCTTATTACCTTAACATATGGTCTTAATGTCTTATCATATTGTCTTATTATCTTATCATATTGTCTAATTATCTTATCATATTGTCTTAATATCTTGTCATATTGTCTTATTGTCTTATCTTTTTATATTATCATATTGTCGTATCAAATTGTCTTATTGTCGCATCATCATATTGTCCTATTGTCTTACCATATTATCTTATTGTCTTATCGTATTGTCTTATTATCTTATCATATTGTCTTATTATCTTATCATATTGTCTTATTGTCTTATCATGTTATCTTATTGTCTTATCATATTGTCTTGTCGTATTGTCTTATTGTCGTATTGTCGTATTATATTGTCTTATTATCTTATTGTCTTATTACCTTAACATATGGTCTTAATATCTTATTATATTGTCTTATTATCTTATCATATTGTCTTATTATCTTATCATATTGTCTTATTGTCTTATCATCTTGTCGTCTTATCTTATCATATTGTCTTATTGTCTTATCATGTTATCTTATTGTCTTATCATATTGTCTTATAATCTTATCATATTGTCTTATTGTCGTATTATATTGTCTTGTTGTCGTATTATATTGTCTTATTATCTTATCATATTATCATATTGTCTTATCTTATCATATTGTCTTATTGTCTTGTCTTATTGTCTTTTCATATTGTCTTATTATCACATTGTCCTATTGTCTTATCATACTATCTTATTGTCTTATCATATTGTCTTATTGTCTTATTGAATTATCATATTGTCCATATTGTCTTATCTTTTCACATTGTCTTATTATCTTATCATAATGTCTTATTGTCTTTTCATATTATCTTATTGTCTTATCAATTTGTCTTACTGTCTTATCATATTGTCTTATTGTCTTATTGTCTTATCTTTTCATATTGTCTTAATATGTTATCATATTATCTTATTGTCTTATATTTTATAGTCTTATTATCTTATCATATCATATTAATGTCTTATCTTTTTATATTGTCTTAATATCTTATCTTATCCATTGTCTTGTCATATTGTCCTATTGTCTTATCTTTTTATATTATCTTGTTGTCTTATCATATTGTCTTATTGTTTTATCATATTGTCTTATAATCTTTTCATATTGTATAGTCTTATTATCTTATCATATAGTCTTAATATCTTCTCATATTGTCATATTATCTTATCATATTGTCTTATTATCTTATCATATTGTCTTGTTATCTTATCATATTGTCATATTATCTTATCATATTGTCTTATTATCTTATCATATTGTCTTGTTATCTTATCATTTTGTCTTATTGTCGTATCCACAACAGATGGACACGCCTCCGGTCTCGTCTCTGAGGGCTATTCGTCACATAGAAAGTACTATCAATTGTCTGCGAACAAATACCATGCCACCAGTACGAAAATTACCCGCCCAGCCAGTAAGTGATCAAGCCCAACTATCCGGTAATGGACAAACAACGAGGAGCAGCCCTACCTCAAGTAGCCTACCCGAACCTGTACCATCCCATCCTGATCCGACTCAAAAAGACAGTGGCGCTCGAAGATCACCACACACCACGCACCATTCCTATGGAAGGAGTGTCGGTAGTACCACCAACCCCCAGGGAAACAACTCTAAACCATCATCACCCAACGGCCATCACAACTACACCACTTCAGCGTCCGCTTCCCCTAGTGCTGGCAGAAAGGCACCTACCAGGATCAGCGCTACCATGTCCTCTGGGCCACATAAAAGAAGCCCCATGAGAAGCTTGCTGTGTATGTCTGACCAGGAGTTGCCGTAACAGTGTGGGTGTGCTGTGTATGTGTGCTCGGGCTTTCCCTTTGTATCCATATGTAGTCAGGCTCTTCCTGTGCATGTCTGAATGTACGTTCCCTATTTGTTCGCATGTTTGCTATGTACGTCTGCACATGCTCCGGGGGCTGTGTCGCTATTTTTTTCGAGGCGTTTTTTTATTCTTATTCTCCGGTCAAGTCTGTGAGACAGTCAGTCTGGGAAACAATTATAATTAAGAGCATATACCACATGTTCAATAGAGAATCAAGCACGACAGTGAGGTGTGCTACTATATATGAGTATTAGAACGTATTTGGGACTATCGATAGACCTCGGTCCCATATCTTCTTCATCTAGTATCATCACCAATAATACTACGCACTCTCTATATGAGGCGACATTACTTGAATCTGAGCTCAAGATAAAGATATGTAGATGGATAGATAGGTAGGCAGGTAGGTAGGTAGACAATAATTTATATGTATATATTATATATTTTTTTGTGTGTGTGTGTGTGTGTGTGTGTGATGTATATATTATATAGATATATATATATAGACACACTCTATGGCCGGCAGCACGCAAGATTTTGGGCTCGTCTATATTCGTGGTCGACGTTGATTTTAAATTATGTTTTACATGCCCCGCAGCTCTTAGAAGTTCTGGCTCGAGAGGTTCGTCTAACTCAGTATCGATGAACCAGGCTGTGAGCGGCGAATTGAACTGTCAAACCGACAGCCAATCAGATTCTGGTACTTCCGATGTAGACGAGGATGACGAAGAAGAAGTATTTGCAATTGGCGAAGGTGTTACGCACGGCACACAAACTGATAGCGGTCATTGGTCGCTCGACACATCCACACATGGTGTGGGGCTTGACAACGTAGTAGAGAGGTCTAGTACAGATAAGTGTCCACAGGGCACCCCTACGAAAACAAAGGGTGCAGATGCGTACATACATTGGTGGGACGCGCCAGACACGACGACTGGCAGCGAAACAAGCGGACGGGAAGGTGTCCAGGACCACAGCCCGGGTGCAATCGAAGAGGACGCTGCACCTGGGGAAACATACCGCACAACCATACCAGTGGGGAGTGAGAACCAAACGGTGTATTACACCGAACCCGCGGGTTCTGGAAATGGGGCCGGGGCCGGCGGCGCATCAGAAAGGAACTATCAGGACCGAGATGGCAACCATACTGGTGTAGGTTACTCCAGCCACGGTGACAGTGATAACTTCGACCCTATCTCGGCGGAGCGAGACGAGTGGGTGCAAGAGGGCAATACGAGTCCTTCTTTTAGGCCAAGATCTCTATTGGTAAGTTCTGGAACCGGTGTTCGACGAAAGGCCCAGGAAAATGACGGTATTCGAACACGAGCTACGGGACTAACTGAAATAGATAGCTCTCTAGATGTGCTATTGGATGGCCTGGTGGAAAGTGGTATGAACATATTGTATATGTGTATATTTATATGTGTGGATATATATATATATATATGTGTGTGTGTGTGTGTGTGTGTGTGTGTGTGTGTTGTGTGTGTGTACGTATATGTATCTGTATATATATATATATGTGTGTGTGTGTGTGTGTGTGTGTGTGTGTTGTTGTATATATATATAGGTATATATATATGTGTGTGTGTGTGTGTGTGTGTGTGTTCTTTATGTGTGTGTGTGTGTCTGTTTCTTTGTGTGTGTGTCTGTGTCTGTTTCTTTGTGTGTGTGTGTGTGCGTGTTTATTTCTATGTAATCCTTTGGCATATTGCAGTTCATCTACATTGTTAGACCTGCACAATGTTAAGACTTTTGTGGCCACTCTCTTTGGTGAGCACACTGTAGAATTCCTTTTTTTTTCTTAGTTTAATTAATTATTTAAAACAATATACTAAGGTTACTGGTCACATCCTGGTATAAATAAGTATGAAATCCATTCGCTTGCGCTTTTCTGATCGCTCTTGTAGGTAAAACGCATGTCGATGGCTTGCACCCAGACTTCAATATTGATGATTTCTCGGTCCCTCCGAGTGCGAGATCGAAGACGTCACCAAATCAAAATGCGGCTACGCAAAGTACGCAAACAAAATCACCAACTAACTCGCAACAAGGGATTTATTCGCCTACCGGTGGTGCCAGTTTAAGCTGGAAGGAAGGTTCAAAACGTACCGACGAGACTGATCCTGTGCGCTCGAATTCGCCCATGAGTGGCGAACATCAACGTAGTCGACAACGAGCTAAAGTGAAAAAGGTCCAGAACGTATTCGGGTCAGTGAGAACCCAAAAGTCGGGTGACGGGCGGAAAATGTATAGTGTGACCGAAAATGTGGAGGGTTTGGATGTAGACACGCCAAATCTAGGTGAGGCGAAGGGCACAGCAAATTCTAAACAACTGCTCGATTCGTTAGGTGAGACTACCCTGTTTTGATTTTTTTTGTACTTTGCCACCCTGTCAATAACATAAAGTAGAAAATAAAATATATCTCGCTATCTTACGGAAACATTGAGGAGTGCAATTGGATATGTACATTGTCGCGTACTCGTATCCAAGCTTGAATCCTACATTCAGGTGCACATATGTATGTTAAGGGTCATATCGATTCGTCTAGGTGCATAACAATTGGCTCACATATTTTGCATACCGAAAAGCTCGAGTACTTTAGATCAATATAGTTTTTATGCCAGCTTTGAATGTCCTCTGCTAGCTAAAAATAATACGTATAAACTTGCCCTGTATCTTCATTTTGAAGATATTCATAGTCCGATTAGATGCATCGTAGAGCCCTGTCGTGCAACATGGCCCGAGCATATGCTATTTAATACCTGGATACCGTTAATTCAGAAGCGTAAACATAAAGAAAACTTGGGTTTATGTTTGGTATTATAAAATATAATATAACAATAGGTAATGTCCTCTGTGGCAAAGTGGTATCGCGTCACACTCGTAATGTGAAGGTCCATGGTTCAATCCCATGCGGAGGCAAAAATATATTTTTTTTCTTCATATTTTGAGTCGGTTGTTTTTTTTTTGTTCTATTGTAGCATCCAAGGGCCAGATTATTAGAAAAGCCAATCCTAAACCCAAAACCTAGGATTATCAAATATTGAGTTTTGGATCTAGGATCCAATATTTCTGATGATAGAGCGATCAAAAATATAGCGGGATTACCAGTAGATGATACCGAAACTCACGCGTGTGAGAGAAACACTTAAGTAAATATTGAGTCTAGTGTAGAAAATACTAAACACAAATAAAGACTCAATGCGAGTGCTTCAGCCTAGGACTTTACCTAGCTGGAAGATTCGCACTTGAGAAGAGGTCTTTTGTTTCTTCCGGTCGTATCTTATAAGCTACTCTCAAACTCTACACTATTCTCAAATCCTCTCCAACAGATATGAAGCCTGATGCACATGTAGACACGTAATAATTTAATCAAAAGTCAAATAAAAAAGATTATCCCTATTCCATCAATATTTGAATATTGACGGGTTTTTTTCTTTTTCGGTTAAGCCATAGTAGGAGCACCTGATAACACCCATGCCGATGTCCCTCGTCAGATAGACTGTAAACGAGCACCATGTCCCCGCTTTGAATGCATAGTCTCGATGAAGGTGATCATACTCCTTCCTTGGATATGCCCCGTGCCATCTATCTGACGTCAAATACCTGTGCGACCGAACGGTTCCTTGGTTTTAGTTGTAACTGAAGGGTGTCAGTCAGGCTGGGCGCTTCTGTGAAAGCATCTTGTCCCAAATGTAATACTGATCCCTTAATAACGTATGCATTTGGAAATATATCTTGGCATATATGTTCAGGTTAAGCTAGGGCACGAATCTAGCCGGACCAGAAAATCTCCGAGAAGAAATATGCTATTTATATCTCGTCCGACTCGCAAACTGATTTTTTTTTTCTCAGTTTTAGCTGAATGACCTACATGCATTGACTACTAGTTTTTAAGGTGGCATCCCGTTGTACACATCTTCTTGTGATTGATGAGTTGCTATTAATGGTGGTAGCCCAGACAAGATAAGTACACTCTTTATGGGTACAATGAAGCTACGAACACGAACAAAAACTAGCTGGCTGTGTATACTATTCTTTCATCATGTATTCGTTTCGATCACAATATGTTTGGTTCGCTGAGATAATCATATAGTCTAGTGGAAATTAGGTTCGAATATTGGTTTGTAGTTGAGAGAATCCGCAATATCAGTTTGAGCAAAAGATGATCCAACATTCGACGATGCGCACCGTTGCCGTATACATGTAGATGTACGTGTATGGCCTTATGCTTTAAAGTTGTGATGTGATTAGTGTCTCGGATTCACGCTGCAATGATTATTTGTCAGAGCTCTATTCCAGTAATATATGCTGCTATCGCGTACCCCCAGTGTAAAATCTCGCAGGGTGTGCTGTACAGTACAACGCAGTCATCATTGAGACAACTCTGACTGTTATACTTCTCAATAATCAAGTCATTATGATATCATGTCTATTGATGCAACTCGTGACCGATCATCTTCAATCATATACCGTTACTAAATGAATCTACTCATTGAGGGTTTTCAATCACGGAAGATTTGGCTCCCGTAGCATCAGACAACCATCACATCAGATTCATCGATGACAGGTTTTGGGGAGACACTCCACGACCAGGGCCAGACGACGGCCTTTGCAAGAATATGGACGAAGACGGAGCAGAGATGGCCCATCCTCGTACTGGAACTCAAGGCCCTCGAATTAGCAAAAGGAATAGGTGCCGTACCACAACTGTGGCTCACCGATTCCTAAACCGCACTACACGTATGACGCAAAAGAAAAAATCAGTCCAAACTTATGAACGCACAATTAGGTCAACTAGTCTGGTACTGTCATCGAAGAAACTTGTATAGGAACTCTACCACAAGAATATTCAACCCGCCCCTCAAAATTCATTGTTTACTACCCTAAAACGATGTGATTTCACTAATCACTACCCCTAAAAATATGGTAGGGTTTTTGCTAATTTATCTACTAAGTGATCGTCATGAAAACGAACTGCCGTAATCGTAGGGGTAGTTATTAGTGGAATCTACATACCCACGGGGTAGTGTTTATTTAATCCCCTCACAAATAATTAAAGAATAACTTACATCTAAAACAAGCCTAATAAAACTACTACCAGATAGAATAGATAGCACTGACAGAGAAGACGGCATCGATCGGGTACAAATGAGTAGCCCTCACTAAATCAGAGCACAAACTGGCATACAAGACTATCGCATATTTCAACAAACCTGTACTGCCTAGAGGATCGATACACATAGACATATTATACACACATTATACATGATTTAAAAAATGCATTGACTCGCGCTAGAGAACCCAAAACAATCATTCACAATGCAAACAGCTTTGAACCTATGAATGAGGGTAATTACATGAGAGCGAAGTTATATACAACACATGGCAACTGATCAAACCACGAGCTACAATAAAGGTGGGAGTACCACTCAACAGAGACAGAAAACAATCAGTTCAAGTCTACAATTCACAGGCAATTAAATCAAGAGAAGGGAAACACAGCCCATAGCACATTCAATGGAAACCCTATACAGGGTAATCAGAAACTCAAGTCAATATATTCTACAACAGTAGGAGTGCACACAAGGCATAAGATAAACCATCTACCAGTCTAAAAAAGGAATCAAACCAGAGACAATAACTAAACACCGTCGAACAAAATTAACTCGCACTCACACAAGGTGAAGGAGCATATACACAGGACATTGACAGTCATCACATCTCTGTCCACAACAGAATTGATCCCAAAGTCCAACAGCCCAAGGAAAGAAAGGGACTCAAGAAAGACGAAAACACAAATTCGATCAAAACAACAGACACAGACGCAATCAGAGTCTGCACACCAAAGGTGAGAACGTCAAACAACATCGCACACACTAGTCACTTTAAGACATAAAGGCCAATCGAGTCTATCGTCTAGCAGGCGAAAAAGTATCAAGGGGCACTACAATCGAACAACTTCGGTACGGGAACGAACATAACGATTGACATCAATATCAGGGGCAGTTCGGCACAGGACCGAACATCAAGGGATGACGTCACCAAGACCGAACTTCTTAGGTGACGTCACTAGGACCGAGCTTCTTAGGTGACGTCACTAGGATTAAACATTTCATTGAGATCACACTTTTTCATATGACGGAATAAGCACAAGTAAGTCCACACGTGACGAAACAAGCTTGACTAACAAACACCGTTTACACCCTCATAAATACAGGGAACAATGCAACATGTTACCGTATCACACAGAACGGTAGACACTTCCTACGGAAGTGCAGCAAAGCGATAGCACTACAATAGAAGGTATAATAGCATCAGAATTTTATTTATTTTATACAAATTTTACTAAAGACAAGGGGGATGAAGCGTGCATTCGCACAGAATATGGCAAGAATCTTTACTAATAACCCGCAATATATACACACCGTCGTAGACATCTCACGATGCCAACGGCAACACGTGCAGGCGTCTTTGGTGGTGAAGAAGAGGGTGCGGGCACAAATGCGTAACAATAAGGGGGCCAACCCCAGGTAGTGGGTCGAGCCAGCCTACACCTGGTGGGGTTTCCATACTTGCCTCAGCGATGCGTCTAGAAATAGGCAAGAGTATCTGTCAAGGCAACTACGTTCTGGTTAGTAAGTTTGTATCCAAATTGGAACAAACAGTACCGGTGCCTATACCGACTCTAAGAGTATGTATTTATGATCAACAGCCAGAACGACACATGCCACTCGTGAATTCGGAGATCAGACGACGATATGATTTGGCTATCAACGATTGTGGTGACGATGAGGTAGATGATCTTCTTCAAATAAGTCAATACATTAGTGAGTTAGAGCGCGTTCACGCTTAGGCGACCATATAAATGAACCACCTCTTGCAAAACTACTAAAGACTTCGGAATTTCTTATGCTACCTAAAGATAGTTACTTTAGAATGGAAAATTGCGAAGACATCATAGAGCACTACACAATGTAGAGACCTATTCCTAGCAAAGTCCATGCCACTGTGTCAGTACCCAGCACTAGTGAGAAACCTATTAGGCTCCACTGATGCAACGGAGAAGTCCAAGTCAGTACTCAATAACTTTAAAAGATTCGGAGACGCATACAACTAGACACTTCAAGAAACCTAAGCAATTCAATAGAATCATTATTGACAGACTCAGGCCTCGCCCAGTGGACTATCTGTTAGAGAAATTTCTCAACGGCATGCATAACAAGAAGCTGAACGTCGAAGTGCGCACAGAGCGTGCGCATACGACAACGGTGATGTTAGAGGAGCATTATTGCAATTCAAACAAGGAACCCATAGACTTCCAACTCCTCAAAGTACAAAGATGCCAAGATAGACAATAATCACAGGTGAATGCTCTAATCAAGGCAGACAAGCAACCTGATGGAAGTGAAGGGCACTTATCAGATATAGAACACACGTTTCATACTATGGCTGAGACTAAAATAAGAGCGGCATCCAAGGTGTAAAGAGATCGAATGTTGATTGAATAGTTGCGAGCGGAGAACAAGCGTCAAAACACGCAGACAGCCAACCACGCTGAGAGTAGCACTACTGCTACTAACAAATGACATAACCCGGACACCGGTGCACCCAATAAAACCAAACCAACAGAACAAGACCAAGAAAAAAATGAGTCGCGTGAGGAGTGTCCATGTCTTTATTGTGAGATAATACCAGCCCCACATCGGTTCAGTCTATGTCCCAAGAAGGCTTTGAATCAGGCCAAGCAGGCTGGGGAACAGGCCAAGAAGGATGTGCAAGTAGCAAGGCCATCCACTACCTCTGGCAAGGTTGAAGACACGGAGGGTGACGAACACTGATACAACTGGTGGGCGAAAGTAAACATGATTGACTTGGCTGATAGGCTCAATGTATATACAGATGAAAAAACGTTGGCAATAAATGCAAATGATTTAAATTACCAACCTTTATTCTTACTTCCCGTACCATGAGACCAACGTTTACACATTGATATACAAATTAATGGCAATACATACAATGCACTAATAGACTCGATCGCACAACGTTCATGCATGGAAAAGAGTGTAGTAACAGAACTATATCTCTCCGTCAGAGCGCAACCGGGTTATATACAATTAGCACAAACAGATACAAGGATGCAACGCACAGGATGAACTGAAGTTTGTGACATTAGATATGGAGCTAGGAAAACCTCTCATTGTTTTGAAGTATAGGATCTACCAGACAAGAAGACACCAATACTTCTCGGCATGGACATACTACCATACATAGGTATATACATAGCATGATTAATCAATCCACTTTTAACAACAGATGCGAAATGGGAATCATTCCTCACGCCATATGAAGAGGACCATGAACATGAACAAGAAAGTTCCAGGGAGTCACTTACCGATCTCTTAGATACCAACGCGAACATACATCCTGACGTACATTGCAACCTACCAGGTTCCACAGTCACAGTACCTGCAAGTGGAATGAATGTCAGACAATTGAGGCACGCGAAAGTCAACTTTGTACCGCACAAGTATATTCCACAAACGGATGAGAATGTACAGAGGTGACTTACAGATGGTCACATATACAAACGAACTACGCCAACTTACCGTCATATGTGTTAGTATGGCTCGATGTATACTCATAGTATGCAATATTACGTCCAATGATGAACAAATCAGCAACTACTATAGCATGCACGCTGGTACCAATCATGAGTGAACAGGGATTATGTCCCACAAATCATATAGGTTGACCAAGGCACTGAATATGTTAACAACATACTTTCGAAAGTTGTTGAACAAGCGCCAATGCAACACCTAGTATCTCGGCCGTATCAACCTAAAGTCTAGGCGCGAGCGAACGATCACACAGAGACCTCATGCCACTGTTACGAAAATTCGTTGAGCAAGATCTTAGTAACTGGTGTTCACGACTTCCATTAGTAGCGATGGGCCACAATCTGCGTACATCAAGAAGGCGCACGTCACCACGATTTAAAGTGTACTTTGGTCGCAGACAGAATCAACTAACGGACTACAATGAGCCAGTGACCGCACCCAGTACAGCATTATCTTGGGAAGAGCGACTCCAGAATATAGAAGAAGCTATCAGGCCACAAATAGACAATAATGATGCACAATATTAAGAGAAGATGCGCGCAGCAAAAGATCGAAAATACATAAAGAAGTATGTAAACTTTCAGGAAGGGGACCTTGTGATGGTTCGCTATATATATATAT